ATTGCCCGAGGGCCCGTGGCTGCAGCGCAGACCACCTCCATGGCGGAAGTCTCCTGATTGAAGAGCCGGCGGACCTGCCGACAGTACGGCTCGTACCCGTCCAGCTGCACGTCCGGGTCCGAGAAGCGAAAGCTGTCGCTGAAGAGCTCCGGCATCCCTCGGCCGGTCACAAACCAGCCGCGCTCGCGCAGACCGGTGTCGATTCGGCCGGCCATCTGCTCCGTCGAGAGACCGCGCGCCTTGGGCGACTCCCAGTCGATGTCCGCAAGCGCATCCACCGCTGTCTGCTGTGCCTCGCCGCCCTTGCTGGGGAGAAGCGTGCCGAGGAGGGAGATGAGCGGATTTTTCGCCTCGTAATCGCCGGCGCAGCGCACGTGACCGCAGCGCGGTCGCAGCTGCAGCGCAGAGGCGCCGCCGATCAGGAGCGCGAGATGCGAAATCATTTCGACATTCGCGCGCGATCACGCGGATCAGCGGAGCCGACACCCCTGTGTTGAAAGAAAGTGAGTCCGTGAGTAAGCGCGGGTTAGCCCCGGGTTTCAACAACAAAGAACGGGTCAGCACGGGTTAGAACAGGGTTACATATAACCCGACGCTATCACGCTAACCCGGCACTAACCCGACACTAACCCATCCTAACGTATGCCCCCGTGCCCCGAGCAGCGCGGGTTAGCGCCGGGTTAGTCTCGGGTTAGTCTCGGGTTAGTCTGGGTTAGGCTTGGGATTGGGTTACGGCTCGTTCCACCCCTCTCTCGTGCGTTCACTCACTCGCCACACCACAGCCGCGGGCGCATGGCGAGCGGGACAGTCTCATGCCACAGGATCTATATGTACCGCCCTCAGCGCACTCCTCCCTAGGGCCATCACTGGCACACGTTGAGGGCCGGGCCCCCTGCAGCCCGCACTGCCACTGCAGCGGAGGCCATGGGCGCACCGGGAGGTGTGTCGACTGGGCGTCAGGCGCGCACGGAGCAGTGAGGAGGGACGTGCTCTAGTCGACGTACACGGTCCACTTCCAGCACGAGCGATCCTCGTCCCAGACGTACCGGCCGCCCACCCAGGCTTTCGATGTACACCGCGCAGCCGCTTTCGATGCCCGCCGCAGCCGTTTCCTCTCGCCAACCAGCTCTAACCCGGGGTGCGCTGCACTAACCCGGCCCTAACCCACCCCTAACCCGGCGCAGACCCATGCTGACGTATGCCCCCCAGCCGCACGGGTTAGTGCCGGGTTAGTGCCGGGTTAGTGCCGGGTTATGGTAACCCATTCTGACCCGTGGCCGTGCTGACCCGTGCCGGGTTAGTGAGCACTAACCCGCGCTAAACCCGCGCTTACCGAAAGACTCACAAGGGGGCTAACTGGGCGGCCAAATTCACACCTCGCGGGACTACTTATGTTTTCGTAAACGTAGTCGTGGCCCCCCGCTACGTCGCACGAGTGCAACTGGGTAGCGGGGGGGCTAAAACCCCGAGAAACCCTTAGAAGAGATATACATACATATACACTGAAAAAGATAGCCACTCAAAATGATACCGAGCCACAACCCAACTACTACTCGAGGACGACTGTAATGGTTCATCGCTCATCTTCCAATCTGTTGCGGGCGGCCGCCGCGAAACGCGCGCCCTCCCCCATTACATCGCATTTTCGTGCGTATCTGCTACAAGAAGCTTCGCGAGCCCCCCTTTCCAAGCTCCGCGCGTGCTTAATGCTGAGCGAGCACTCGGAGACTGGCTTGGAGGACGAGCTGGTCGAGCTGCACCTCGAGCGCGAGCAGGCCACCACCTCCTCGCCCGGCTATCGGCCCAAGCGCCCGGGCAATCCGCTGGCGACCGAGCTCGTCACAAGCAGAGACGTGCCTCACGGCCCAGAGGCGCAGGCGGCGTTCAAGCCGTGCCCATCCGACTCGACACGCCCA